CCCAGCTCCTTCTAAGTGTTGTTTCAGAGCTTCGGAGATGCACTGATACATATTCTGTTTGCATATCTCAGAAGCAGAAATTTCTCTTACCCTTTGCCTGTGAAAGATCCCCTCCCTCCGCTTTTTGCTCTGCCTTAACTGCCATGGACAAAGATTTATTGAAGTCTGGGGTCAGCCTAACTCCAGAGGAATATACAGTGTTTGGCTGATGACTAGTGGACTCACCCCTTCTCTGTAGGGGCAGGGTGGGGTTGGAGAGAAAAAGGAAGGGCGCGGCTGGCAAGGGGAGGAGCCAGCCAACTGGGGAGCCGGCAGGCGCCTGGTGCTGCGGCTTCTGTCATGGGAATTTGCTTATTTTGCTTATGTCAGGAGACCAGCCCTGCTGAAATCCTTAATACTATTCACATGCTGGTTCATGCGAGATTCACCTAAAGCATCATTCAAAGATTGGGCCTCTTTCCAGCCTTAATTCAGGTGAATTCCAAGGTGATTTCAGGTTATTCATGTAGCCTTCTCAGCTCCACTTTCTCTCCTTGTTACATGTAACCAGACTTTGGTGAGAAAATGATCAAGTTGGAGGGACCCCGAAGAAGCATCTAATTTCTTTTCTTTTTGGGGGGCAGCTGGTTGGTACAGGGATCAAACCCTGGGCCTTGGTGTTATCAGCACCATACTCTAACCAAATGAGTTAACCAGTCAGCCCAGAAGTCATCTAATATAGCCTCCTTGCAAATACAAGAACACAACTATTTTACATTTGTGAATTTGCCTTCTTTAAATAAGTCTGGAATTGATCAGCGCCTGCTCTTGATGATCCATTAAGATGTTTACTGTTATTTTTCTAAATGTCTGCAAGGAAGATAATATAGAAATACAGAGTACCCTAATTTCTCTCCCTCCATACTCTTCTGTAAACCTATAGACCTATAGAACATTGCTCAAAGTTGAATTAAATATGATGTAAAGATGATCAGTCAATTAATTATGATTAATTATTGTTTTCTTGGGAAATATCCAGGGTTGTTAAACTGTAGTCATGAACATAATCTGTTTTCCTTCTTTATGCATTTCTTTCATGTCCTCTGGCTGTTTCTATTGCTTTCAAATAAAAGCATTTCTACTTGACTCAGTTCTGAGAATGAATAAACTATGGCTCAGAACTTTTATAATGTATGGATAAAAGAATCCACAAGAGGTTAATATCCCAACATTAAGTAATAAACAGGATCATTATGTGAAAGTGTTTCCTACAACTTTACACAGAGTGTTCTTTTGCATAATAGCCTAAGGAAGTGCCTACTGTTCAATGTTTGGTATAAATCAAAATACAAGTAAATCTCCCACTTCCTTTCAGTTGTGAACAGTTTAAGTAAGACAGTCACAAAAGGTACAATTATAAAAATCAGTGGTTTAGTCACACTCTATGTATTTGTTTTCAGTTTCTTTCATTTTTATTGAATTTTACCTGAGCCCATTAGGTAATCTTTGGATCTTGTTTCCAGAATTTTAGGTAAAATTTGGATCTTGTTTCCAAAATTAGCCATAACACTGCCATTTCTCAAAAGAACAAGAAAGTTCTGTCATTATTGATTTTGGTCACAAATGGATGGCTTCCTTGTGTAACTTCTTTTTGGAAAGTTCAGAGTCATCAAGATAATGAATCTCCTCTCTCAGAGAGACAGTCGAGTCAGCAGAAAATATTTCTCCTGGCAGCTCCTCCTTCTGTTTGGTGTTTCCCTTCTCCAGACTGTGGGTGTGGGTAAAAAACAAACTCTGAACAAAAAAGCTCTTCACCTTTGCAACTGCCTATTGACTTCCCACAGCAGAGCAGGAGACGTGGTACTAAGATTCAGATTGCAAAAAGAGTGTTTTCTTTTTTTTAAATTTTGTCCTTTTTGAGACCGGCCGCACCACGCTCAGCCAGTGAGCGCTGTGAGCGCACCGGTCATCCCTATATAGGATCCGAACTCGCCGCGGGAGTGCACCTGCGCTCACAGCGCCGCACTCTCCCGAGTGCGCCACGGGCTCAGCCCAAAGAGTGTTTTCTTGTAGACAACTAAGTAACAGGGGATCTGAGCTGCTCTCCTATGTAGATGTTCAGAAGAAAGAATGATTCCTCCTCCCTGCCCCAAATGAAAGAATCATTACTGTTTCCCTTGATTATAAAAGCAATACATCTTCAGTGTAATGAATGTACACAGTAAATGTAAAGTAGAATTTGAAGGGCTTCTGTAATCAGTGCTGTCACTCAATGTATTTGTGTGTGTGCATGTGTGGTGTTAACATAAACACGATGGTACTTACATACCGCTGCATAAACTGGTTTTTTTCAATGAATATATGTAGACTTTTAAACTCTTTTCTATGTCAGTGTCTGTGGATCTATCTGCAGCATCCTTTTTTTTTGACAAGTAAAAATTGTTTATATTTATGGTGCATAATATGGTGTTTTGATATATGTATACATAGCGAAATGGTTAAATCAAGCTAATTAACACACATTGCCGGACGTATTTTTTTTGTGGTGAAAATACTCAAAATCTACTCTCCTAGCAATTTTCAAGTACACAGTACATTGTTATTAACTGTAGTCACCGTGATGTACACTAGATCTCTTGAACTTACTCCTCCTGTCTAACTGAAATTTTGTGTCCTCTGACCAACATCTCCCCCGTGGCCCCCAACCCCCAGCCTCTGCTAACCACCACATTACTCTCTGTTCGATGAGTTTTTTAGATTTTGCATATAAGTGAGATCATGGGGTGTTTGTCTCTCTGTGCCTGACTTATTTTAGTTAACACAGTGTCCTCTAGGACATTATCAATGTTGTCACAAATGACTGGATTTCCTTCTTTTTAAAGGCTGAATAGCATTCCCTTGTGTTTGTGTACCACATTTTCTTTATCCATTTATCCATCAATGAACACTTCGGTTGATTCCATATCTTGGCTATTGTGAATAACATGCAGCATTCTTTTTTAAAGAACTCTATCATGTGGATGAATCAGAGCTGATTTACTTAGTTTCCTCTTAATGGACATTAAGTCCCATTTTCTGATGTTCTAAACCTGCATCCTTCCATGTGCTAGCCACCAGAGCCATATGTGGCAATTTAACTTAATTGAAAATAAGTAATATTAAAAATCGGTTCCTTAGTCACACGAGCCTTATTTCACATGTTTGGTAGCTATATGTGACTAGCACAAATATAAAACTTTTCCATTATTACATGAAATTATATTGGACAGTGCTGTTCTAAACTACTGGTTTTCAGACTTTTTTGAATGCATGCTTTCATTCATTCCTTTATTCACCCATTCTTCATTCATTGAACAGATAATTACTGAGTGCTATGTGTGTGTCAGGCACTGTGCTCGAACTTGAATATCTCATTCATAAACCAACAAAAACACTTGTCCTCATAATGCTTACATCCAACCACCAAAGGTTTTTGAGTGCTCATTTCCAATAAAGGTATGTGAGTTTATATGTTGTATATATATTATATTATGTCATAATAAAACGTGTTCAAATAAGAATGGGAAAGAATAAGATAAAATGTAAATAATTTCTGAAGTAGTCTTCCTTTATTCCACCTTGGAGGCCACTGTCTTGAATGATGCTCTTGTCCTGGATGGTCATCTCTAGACGTTCTTCTAGTGCTGAAACTGAACTGTTATCGCTTTTCAGATAGATAGTCCTCCTATTTTGGTATATTTTCTAAATCTATTTATTTCATTAAAACACCCCCCTTTTTTATTTTTATTTTTCTGAATTCGTGGGCTTTCTCCTTATACTGTTTGAGTTTATTCTTTTACTTATATATTCATTTAGCAAACATTTACAAGGTTCATACTGTGTGGCAGGTAGGTGCTGGGAAATGACACAAGTTAGTGTTCTTGCCCTCAAATGAGACAGACCAGCAGGCCAGTGGTTATGATAGAGTGTTGCAGAAAGGCAGCAGAGGAGCATATAAGGAGAGAGGTTGTTTGGCATAATGGAGGATGACGCTCATGAACTTGACCTCCTCGTTGCTCAGTTATTGCACCCTTTTCTCTTTGTTGGGATTTAATGGAATCACAGGTTTTTCCAACAGGTCTTTTTTTTTTTTCTCTCTCTCATATTTTCTTCTCTTTTGAAAATATAAAATCATAATTCATT